GCAAGAAATACAGAAGTAACAGGCAGAGCATAGAGTTACTCAAAGTGAAAGTATACTCTGTAAAGAAGAGCAGAGTAGCCCAGTGAGGGAGGCTTAAGGCCCCCATGTGTGGGCGAGACTTGTTTTATATGCTGAGCTATGCCTCATTCACCTCCCCATGGACCTGATTGAAGTCCTTGCCCTATTTGTTCCCAACGGTTACTTTATTTTTGCCTAATTAGAATACAGAACTTGTAGTGAGAGTTGCCATGGTAATGGGACTGTATAGTACTTTTGGTAACAGTGTGGTGATAAGCTCTCCCTAGCAGGAGTTGCCATGGTAATGGGACTTCTTGTAAACAGGGACCTGATAACATGTCCTCATATTGTTGTCTGGCCAGCATTTTCCATGTACCCTACCTCTGCTATCTTGACATCCCAAAACTCCTACCTCACTTCTATGTCTTTTCATGGTTTATTATAGCTCTTTTTTGTTGTTCTTGCCATGCTAGGGATGAAACACAGGGTCTCATATGCTAGGCTAGTCCTTTACCACTGAGTCACACCCTGGGCTGGCTCATTTCTTTTTAGCACTGAATAATATTCCATTCTGGATGTATCCATAGTTAAACCATTTACCTACTGAAGAACATCTCGATGGCTTCCAAGTTTTGTCAAGTATGATTAAAGCTGCTTATAAATGGTCGTGTGCATTTTTTTGTGTGAACATATATCTTCAACTCATTTAAATTAACATTGGGGGAACTTGCTTGTGGGATGGGATGGTATCCTTAATTTTATAAAAAAATGCCAAATTGTCTTCCGATGTGGTTGTACCATTTTGCACTCCCACCAGCAGTGAATAAGAGTTCTATTGTTATGCATCCTCACCACATTTGGTAGAGTCAGTGCTTCATATGTTTGCCATTCTTGTAGTTATGTAGTGGTGTATCATTGTTGCTTTAATTTGCAATTCCCTAATTTCATGTGATATTGGGCATCTTGTAATATATTTGTTTACCATCTAAATATCTTCTTTGGTGAAGTGTCTGGATCATTTTCCCTTTTTTGAAATTGGGGTTTTCATTTTCTTATTGTTGTGTTCGAAGAGTTCTCTGTTAATTGCCTTTTTATCAAATTTGTCTTTTGCAAATATTTTCTCCCAGTCTATAGCTTTTCTTCTCATTCTCTTTTGATATTTTGCTCTAATGAAACGTGAAAATAAACCTTGGGATGCTTCAATAGATTATATAGCTTGTGTGGTCCAGAACAAAACTCTTTATAGCTTTAGTGTCATCTTGTAATCTTCTACATAGATGAAGATAAGCATTTGATAAAATTGAACCTCCACTCATGGTCAGAGCTGTCGGTAAGCTAGAATTTCTTCAATTTGACAAAGGGTATGTATGGAAAAAAAAAACAAAAACCCTACAACTAACATATCTAACGGTGAATATTGAATGTTTCCAATTGAGAACAAAGTATAGATGTTGATTCTCACCACTTTTATTCACCGTTGTACTGGTGGTCTCACTCAAAGTGATAAGGTGCCAATTATTATGCCTGGAAGGTTTTTTTTTTAAGTTTGTTTTTTAAATTAGGAGATATAAGTTTCCATTAAAAATGGTATGCCATAAAATAAGCGACTAGCTCACAAATCAAATAGGTACCCTACAAACTTTGGTATGTCTCGGAAGGGCTTTATTTGTATTTCTCATTTCATCATAGGTATGTACCTAGGAACCCAGATTTAATAGACTGCTTCATCAAAAATATCCCTTTTCTCTGTGTGTGGAGGACTGTACCTAGTGTCCCAGGCATGCTGAGCACACCCTCTATCGCTGAGCTAAACCCCAGCCCATTAAAGATATTGTTAAGTGAAAATAACTTTTTTTGGTAGTTTAAATGGTGAGTGGTACATGCTAACGCATCAGAAATTTTATTCACCATTGCTATTGTAATATAAACGTAATAATGCATGCATGTCCTACATAGGTATTGTCATAATAATACAATGACATGCGTTATTACATTACCTCATCTCCCCTGTGAAAGAGTCTCAGGGATCCTTCACTGCACTGTACCTTGAAATCTGTTTTAGCACGTAGGAGGAAGAGGAGCCTGCTCAGAAAGCTGCAGAGAGAAAGGAGGAAAGCTTGGAAACATAGTATCAGAAAATCCAGGAAAAGAGTGTTTTAAGAAGAAATCATGACTTATTCCACATGTTGCTATGAAAAGTTCTATAAGAGGCCATACATGGAACCATTGATTTTCATAGCTTGGAGGCAACAAACCCTGACAAGAGTAGCTTCCTCTAGGAAGGTTTCACTGAGAGGAGCTGTTTGATTGAGAGGAGGCATCAGAAGCACTTAGAATTCATTGAGATCAAATTGGAAATGAATCAGTGAGAATATGAAAGTGGACAGTTCTTAGGCAAGGTTTCTCTGTCAGAGTGAGGCCGTAGCTGAAAATGGCTGTTGGGTCAGGGGAGGGCTTTTAATTAATTTCTTGAGTTTGTTGTTTAAATTGGGAGATACTTAACTCAGCAACTCAGACTTTTTGAGGGTAGCTCATAGCAATAAATATATTTTATATCATAACAGTGTACACACACATTGAAACAAAAGTTTCTCAAAATGCTTTTACCTTTTCCATTTTTAATGCACTCTGAGACTTTCTATTCTGCTCTTTATTGTTTCATTAAGGGAAAAATCAAATAGCAGTCTGAACTTACTAAATTGTTTTCATAGCCCACACACTCAATTTCAAATGTAGCTTGTGTTTGAGAGGACTTCATGATGGAATCCACAGTGTAAGTTTGGAGTCAGCCTTTAGATATAGCAAGGACAGTCATTTCATGGTAATAATAAGGAATAAGAGAGATCATGTGTGAATAGACTGGATGTAATGGTGATTGGAAGGAGACAGAATTCTGTTAGAATGAATCCATAGTTTTCAGAGTAGTGTGAGACCAACTAAGAGTGGGCCATAGAGGAGCAGCATTAGAGGTTTGAATAAAGAGGAGACTATGAAACAGTAGTTCTGGAGAATTTAATGAGTTCGGGTTGACTGAATATGAACTTAGCAGATCCTACAACTAGCTGAGCCACTTAAAACTTTCAAGAGGTAAATTCAGGACAGATAACCAGCAGAATTGAGGTTTTATGCTGTAGAGTACTCCTGGCCAAATGGCAGATCTCCAAAGATGAGGTGAAGAGATGAGTGGGAACAATTTTATTAGTCATAATCTGTTGGCATCATTCATTTTCTAAGCAGCATTATTAGACTTCTTGGGCCAAAGCCAGAGCAGTGGCTGCCATTTGGTATTGTTTTCCAGCCTAGCTATGGGATAATTAGATTTCAATAAGAAAAGGAAAATTTTTTAAATATGAGATTATTTCAAAATATAAAGTCATTAAGCCTCCTTAACTGTTAATGCAAGTATTTAGCAAGTTTCTCTAGTAAATCTTAAGCCCACAATTCTTTATTTTCTAGTGGCCTAGAAATAGTATAAAATCTAGGAAAATGGCCTGGACATGAGCTAAATATAAATAAACTGCATTGATCCCATAGTGATGTGTTACCCTGGCCTAATACAACCTAACGATATTGGCCCATTAATTCTGGAGAACTTAAGAAGGATATGATAATTATCCTCAAATACATGGAATTAAATAGAAACCACCTAGCTTGGAGGTATCCATCTATGTAGAGATTCTACATAGAAGAATGTTTCTGAAGAGCTGAACTTTTCCAATCATCTTTATGGCCAGCTTATAATTTCTTTTGCTGAACTTTTAACTATCTTTTTAGTTAAATTTACCAGTTTCTAACCCCACTCATTAGTTTCACTGGGAATTTTAATGCACATAAACATAAATATGTTGGAATTTGTAGTAGTCTCTCCTAAATGTCTTCGCTATGCCTACTAGTATCCACATATAGGAGTCCAATTTCTTTTCTTCTTAGTTGTGCATCATATTTTAGTGTTCTTTTTTCATATTAAAGGATAATTTTCTGGGCTGGGGTTGTGGCTCAGAGGTAAAGCGTTCGCCTAGCATGCGTGAGGCACTAGGTTCGATTCTCAGCACCATATAAAGTAAAATAAAGACATTGTGTCCACCTGTAACTAAAAAATAAGTATTTAAAAAAAGGATAATTTTCAAAACTAAATGAAATCATCCCTATGGATACATAATTAATATTTTTTTTAAGAGAGTGAGAGAGTGAGAGAGGAGAGAGAGAGAGAGAGAGAGAATTTTTAATATTTATTTTTTAGTTCTCGGCGGACACAACATCTTTGTTGGTATGTGGTGCTGAGGATCGAACCTGGGTCGCACGCATGCCAGGCGAGCACGCTACCGCTTGAGCCACATCCCCAGCCCCATAATTAATATTTTTATTAGAGATTTGAAAACCTCATTAGAGAGGTTACCAAAAAAGATGTTAATAAGATATTCAAAGGAGAATCCAAAGAAAGTCATGTTTATAGGTTAGTAATATTAAAATGAATGTACAAATGGAGGCAAAACTGATTTCTTCTATTGTGGTATAGGGAATTTAATGAAATCTCCACCAGAGGGGATTTTGTATATCTATAGCCAATTATTATTATTATTATTATTTTGCTATCACTTATCTACAACTAGCAGACCACAATTCAAAGGCACCAAATGACTGGAATCCTGTAAGGGTAGCTCTAGACAAGGCAGTTTTCAACTGAAATGCAATTTTTTTCCCTACATGCAGTAGATTCTCTACACCTTAGTATTGTGCTATGAGCGGGGGAAAAAAAGCCCCTCTCTGAAGTTTGGGATTTGGGAAGAAATCTAGAGTAGCAAACTAGGAATAGCATGGTTCCATATTTGTGTTTGAGGCTGGGAGAATATAAGGAAACTTCCATGACCCCCTTGCCCTTTGTGCTTTTGTGCTTAGCAGACAGCTTTTACCTTCGGTGCAAGGATGATGTTCACGAGTAAATGGGTTCACCTACTTTACCTAGAAGGTCTTTTGAATTTCAGGTAAAACGCATCAGAATGAATTTCGGCTTCTGGTGGATCAGGCAAAAAAAGGATACAAGAAAACTGATGGAATGCCAAAAAACAAAGTAATGAAAAAAGATGAATCTACAGAAAAGCTGTCATCCATGCATATGGGTAAGAGACATTAAAAAAAGAATTATGATTAATTTCATTATTTATTTTTATTATAAAAAGAAAACCAAAGGAATTTACTTTGGGGTTATTAGGCATTTGAAATGGGAAAAAGTATTTTTTAGATAAATTCATATAGCAGTTATTGAATATAAACTATGTTTATTATTATTCTGAGAAAAACAGTTGGAAGAATGTCCTGAAGAAACAATTGCTAAGCCTTGGCTTCCTTTCAGTTAGTGGGAAAATCACAAGTTCCTTAATTGTTTAAGCTTGAGGAAATTTTCTAGGTTTAGGATTTATTGCTGAGAGTGAAGCTATCCTACAGAGAGAATAAATCATTTTTGTTATAGAACACTGGCATTTACCTTGGATGTGATGGTCTGCTAAACAGTCTAAAGCTAATGCACTTGGTATGGCAATGCATATAACGCATTAATTTTGATCTGTTTTAGAATTTGAGATTAATGTTATATTTCTGTTGCCAGGGCTTTGGGCCAGCAAACAAAACAGAATCATAATGGGAAAAGGTGCACAAGAAAATTCTTTATTTTTTCTTTATTGTGGAAAAATACACATAACACAATATGTATCTTTTTATCCATTTACAAGGATTTAGTTCATTGGCATTAAATACCTTCATAGTACTGTGTAAATGTTACCACTAACTATACCCAGAACCTTTCTGTAGCTGCCAATCCAAACTGTAATCACTATTTTGTACTTTTTTTTCTTTTTTCTTTTTTTGGTACTAGGAATTGAACCAATGTGTGCTTTTACTGCTGAACTACATTTCCAGTGGTTTTTACTTTTCATTATGGGGCAGGATCTTGCTAAGTTGTTGATGTTCTACCTGAGTTGCCAAGGCTGGCCTTGAACTTGCAAACCTCCTGCCTCAGGCTCCCAAGTTGCTGAAATTATAGGCGTGTGTCACTATACCTGGCCTATACTCATTATTTAATAACTCTTCCTCTCCCTCACATCCCTAATTGTCTTTATTCCACTCTTTGTATGGATTTGGCTATTCTGGGTACCTCATGTAAATGAAATTGTATAGTATTTGTCCTTCTGTGTGATTTATTTCTCTAAGAATTTTTTTCAGTTTCCATTAATGTAGCACATGTTAAAATTTTATGCCATTTTCCCCCTTTTTTTGTGTGCTGAGAATGAAACCCAGAGCTTCTTGCCTGTGAGGCAAGTGCTCCACAAGAGAGCTACAGCCCAAGCCCTCTCATTCCTTTTTATGGTTGAATAATATTCTGTAGTATGTATATGACACATCTTATTTATCCATTTATCCCTTAATAGGCTATTTTAGCCTTTTGGTTATAGTGAACAATGTTGTTATGAACATAGATTTTCAAATATCGGCTCAAGTCCCTGCTTCTAATTCTTTAGGATATTTACCTAGGAGAGGAATTACTGGTTCATATAGTAGTATCATGTTTAACCTTTCAAGAACCACCAAACTCTTTTCCACAATAGCTGTATCATTTTATATTGCCTACCAGCAATGTATGAGATTTCTCCACATCTGTATCAGAACTTATTATCCCCCCCCTTTTTTGAATCCATCTTAGTAGGTGTGAAAAGGTATGTCATTATGATTTTATTGTTGTTATTGGTGGTTTTTCATTTGTATTTGCTTTTGGTTTTGGAATTCTAGATTGAACCAAGGGTTCTTCTTCTGAATTATATCCTTACTCCTTCTTATTTTTTATTTTGAGACATGGCCTTGCTAACTTGCCAAGGCTGGCATTGAACTTATAATCCTCCTGCCTCAGCCTCTGAGTACCTGGGATTATAGGAAAGCACCACTGTGCCTGACTGCCATTGTGGGTTTTGATTTGCAATTTGTCTTTCTTCTTTGGAGCATATTCAAGTTCTTTGCCTATTTTAAAATTGGGTTGTTGATTTTATGGGGATCTCTATGTATTCTGTTAATCCCCTATCATATATATGATTGGTAAATATTTCCTAATGTTCTTTTGTTGTCTTTTTGCTTTCTTGATAGCGTTTTCACCACAAAAATGCTTCATTTTTATGAAGATCAATTTGTTTTTGAATTGCCTGTTTTTGATGTTATATCTATGAAGTCATAGCCAAATCCTGTGTCATATAGATTTTTCCTTTATATTTTCTTCCAACAATTTTGTAGCTTTAGCTCTTATGTTTAGGTCTTTGATCCATTTTGAGTTAATTTTTATATATTGTATTATTGTATAAGGTAAGGGTTCAACTTGATTCTTTTTTTTTTTTTTAATGGCCCTGGGGATTGAACCGAGGCCTTGTGCATGCATGGCAAGCACTGTCCAATCTGAGCTATATCTCGAGCCCTCAACTTGATTCCTTTGTGTGTAGATATGTTTACCTAGGAGATATGTTTTATTCTCAGCCCTATTCATTGAAGATTCTTCTTCATTGATTGCTCTTGGTTAATCCTGTCCAAAATCAACTGATCTTGTGAAGGTTTATTTTGTATATTCCCTATTTTATTCCATGGATCTTTATATCTGTCCTTATGCTTGTATTACTGTTTTAATTACCATAGCTTCTATACTCAGTTTCAAAGTTGGAAGTGTGAGTCCTTCAACTTTATTCTTCTTTTTCAATTTTGGGGTCCTTTGAGGTTCCTTGAGTTTTAGGATAAGTTTTTAAAAAAACAAAAAACACTGATTGCCTCTATAAAACATTGGTATTTTGATATTGGATTACATTGAATTTGTAGGTAGCCTTGGGTAGTACTGATATCTTAACAATATTAGATCTTCCAGTTCACAAACACAGGATGTTTTTTTCATTTAATTATCTCTTTAATTTCTTTTAGCAGTTTTATAGCTTTCAGTATACAAGTCTTTTACCTTCCTGGCTGATTTACTCCTAAGTATTTTATTCTTTTGGGTATTTACACATTCCTTGTTGTCTCCATTACTCACGCTTCCTTTGGTAGGTTGCTGCCTCAGCATGTAGCTCATGGCCTTTGAACAACTTGAATTTGTTCATGCAGTTGTTAAAGGATAGTTTTATAAATTATCATTGCTTAAGAAATTCTGGCTTGATATTTCCCACCAGAAGAAAAATATTTTTTTTACTAATCAAATCTTTATTGAATATAGTTGATTACTTGTGCTTGGGGGGTTATATAGAATGTGTGTATATACACAAAAGTATTTCTGTCTCTGGGTGACTGTTGCTGTTAGGTTGTTATTCATAATGGGGATGTCTGAGAGAGGAAGACACAGATTGGTTGAAGAGGTGGTTTTTGTATGGCAACATATAACCAGTGTAACTATTGCTCTTTAGAGTAAACTTTCAAGGGCCCATGTAAGTGAATAAGGTTCATGTTCTCTCAAGGGAAAACCTAATTTTTTTATTGCATGTCTTTGGGGAGGTCTGATGTCCTAACCTCATAGTTGGGGCTCTCCTTGAAGTCCTGTGTTCTTAGATCTAAGGGCAGACAGGATCTAAGGTCAGCTCATATTGCTGAGTGCTGTTTGTCCCTAACAGAGAATTTATTTGTTATTTATTTGTTTAAGAGAGAAAGAAGTAAGAGACTAAAACTTTTAAAAATAAAAGGTTGTTTCAAGATGAATTCCTTTTCCCTGGCTTGCCAGCTTGATTGCATTCTCTGAGCCAGTTGAGTGATATAATTGCCTGGGTGCATCAAGTTTCCAGGGTGATGGGTTCCCCTTATAATGTGTTTACAAGAGGAGATCCTAGAGATTCTGGATGGTCATCTTATTAGCTCAGTTTTTTCTTTTGATAAACATTAGAGGATACAGCTTTGTTTTGGTAATGATGGCTTACTGATAGACAGTATTAGGAGCTAATACCCCTATGATGCATGCTCTTCTTCCAATGTGAGAGAATCATTTGTGAAAAAATCTTTTTGTCCTCCTTTTTGAAGAATTTGGTTTATTCTTTTCCCATGCAATATCTCTGGCTAAAAAGCCTGGCCTGTTCTTTTTAATGTGCTTTGTCACATGAGAAAAAGAATCATAGATAATGTCTTGCACTCTTATTTGCAGACATTTGGCTATACTTGTGTGTCTCATTCTTGTGTACACTTTGAGTCTTCCCTTTTCCTATATCTGCAATGAGAAACTCCGAGAACTAAGACTATGATAAAGGTTGTATAGAAATGTGACTTGTATTATGAAATGGATATATTCATTATGTCTGATTAGTTTTCCTTTCCCATAATGAATTCATTCTATTTAGTAGGTTTAGGGTCCATGTAAATTCATTATTATGTAATAGTGTATTAGGGTATTAGCTCCTAATGTTACCTGTCTGATACACATATATATATCATTGGTTCTATTTCTCTATATGTAATCATATACATATGATTTTAAATAATAAGCATATAAATAATATGATCCTATATATGTGATTATAAAGGGGGATTTGTCAGATTGGTTTATATGACCAGAAGCTGGATATTCCCACAATGGCTATCTGCAGACTGAGAGCTGGAGGAACCAGTAATTGCTCAGCCCAAGAAGCTGGAGCCTTAGAACAAGAGGAGACTCCAGTGATGCAACCCCAGTTCAGAACTAAAGGCCTGGTAACTTCCAGGACAGTTGCTAGTCAGATTCTGTTTTGTAAGAGTGAAGCAGAGCAAAAGTTTGATGTCTTCAGGAGATACAGCTACAGCAGTTGAGGTACCCTGCTCAAGAAAGAACTGAGCTTACATCTGTTTTGTCTTCTTCATTCGTTCTCCTTTTCATTCTATCCAGTCTCCCAACCTATGGGACTGTGCTGCCCACATTTAGGGTGGGTCTCCTGGTTAGTTTGTTGTCCCACATACTGGTCATTCTTAGAAACATCCTCATGACACACCCAGAAACCTCTTAATCTTAGGCATCTCTTTATCTACTCAAGTTGACAATTCAGATTAACTCTCATAGCCAGTGACAAATATTGTAGTTCTCTTTATTCGTTGAATCTTTAGTCATTTTTTGCTAGAGTGACAGTGTTCTCCATCTATAAAATGCTTAGGAATTTAGTGATATGTAAATAGGGGATTTATTAGAATTATAAACTTGGGCTCAGGTTATAGCTCAGTGATAGAGCGCTTACCTATCATATGTGAAGCACTGGGTTTGATTCTTAGCATCACATAAAAATAAATAAAAAAGGTATTTTGTTTGTCTACAACTAAAAAATAATAAAAAAAGAATTTTGAATTTGTTCCATTTCTGGTTTTAAAGGAAACTTTATTTTTAAATTAATTAATTGTGGAAAAACAAAGCACCATTGTGGTATTATTGATTCTTTGGCTCTCACTGGAGTTTTGGGATCAATGTAATATATACTTAGATTTTACTCAATACAAATAACAATATTGTGTGTTACAGAAATAATAGGCATACAAAGGTTGTAAATTTTAAGATACTCTTTAATTTTTATTTCATCCTTTTTACATTTCTTTTTTTTCCTTTTAGGACAGGAAGATGATAAAATGAAATTTTCAGATACAACCTCAGTAAGAAATCACTTTCCTCCATCAAATCTATGCTCCCCAGAAAAGATGAAGCCTGACAGACAAGATGATTCTTCTAGTTGTACCGATATTCAGGAATCAGCTCTTTATTCATCGGAATCAGGTTCATGCAATAGGTAAGGAGCAAGTAGTAGTTGATAAAGAATCTTTAAGTTTCTATTTCCCATGTACGTGTTGCTAGAAGTAATTAGAAGATAGTTTTGTGGTATGATGTGGTTTTTGAGGTTTCTTCCATTTCCTGTTTTTTACTTCCATGTTGTCTTCATAGTGATAGCAAGCTGGAATAAAAAGATACTACAGTGACCATTGGGTGATTTTATTTTCCACTCTGTAGGCTTTATGTAGGACTTCCTAGAGTTGGACAAGAAGCATGATAAGCAGAAAGTTGAGACAATGAGTAAAGGAGATGATCAGGAAGATGGTAAATAGTAAAGTAAAAGAAAAGAAAAATTCAGCCAAATATATTGGGGGAATCTCTAAAAATTAGAGCTTCAATGGCAAGCCCTTTTGAGAAAATATTTTAAAAATTGTGTGTTGTAAAAAGATGACATAGGGTTAATTCATTTTATACACAGGTACATACACATTTTATATGCTGGTGTCTTACTTTATAAGTGGAACATCCTAAATTTGAAATCTGAAATGCTCCAAAACCTGAAACTTGTTGAGCATCATGGCACATTTGAAACATTTTAGATTTGGGGTCAAGGATGCTCACCTGTAAAAACTATGCAAATATTAAAATATCAGGAAAGCTTTGAAATCTGAAACACTTTGAATAAGGGATGATCAACCTATACATCATAAATTTTACTCATGTTTCTACCTCATATTTGTAACTGTTGTTTTTAATGGGTGCAGTATTATATTGTGTTTCTGTACTGTAATTGATTAGTTTCTTCCATTTCTGTAAAGCTGTACATTTTCCCCAGTGTTGTTCTTATGTACCTGATGCTATGGTAAAGCTCTTTTGTTTCTTACTGAATTACTTACATTCTTACCTTTGTCATAATTTTGACCGAAGTAGGTGTGGTCATTGCCTTCTGAATTATATCAATTTAAAATGTTATAAGCAGCATGTGAATATGAATGTCTCTTGGAAATTATTTAATCTTTGATATTCACTTAAAATTACTAACATGCACTTGGGTGACAGATTTCATCAGTCTGAATCATGAGATTAAAAAAAAAAAGTCTTACTTGAAGACCCTCTGCTTTCTTACTGTTTCTGGGGAACATCTTCATATTATTCAGAATCAAGTGTTAGGAAAGGAAAGTATTCCCACCCCATCCCAAAGGTTTTCAAGGCCAAAAACTACATTTTTTTAGTTATTTGAGGGTTAGCCTGAATTGTTATATACTAGAATTGGGCATTCCTGCAAGTTCAGTGTGTAGTATTTGTTTTTAAAAATAAATCTCTTGTGAATACAAAATAAAAATAAGGAAAAAATCAGAGGCAGGGTGTAAACAGCTGGTTTTTAATCTTAGTTACTGGTTGCTTGAATGTTTTAGAAAGCCAGAGTGAATCAGGACGTAGGCGTGGTAATGAAATAAACTAAAGGGAAAATACGGCCATCAAATATCTGTTTATCTGGTGATGAGATAAACAAATATATAGCAAATAAGATGAGTTTGGAGTCTTGGCTTCAGAAAGACTTAATGACCACACTAAACTGTGAGAAGATGATTTAAAAGAAAGATGCCATGCCATTGCTTTTAGTTACACTATGGCTCAGGAACTAGAAGAGCCAGTAGTAGATAGTCTTTTGACTTAGTTTCAAAGGTAAAGGAAATATGACTGAAGGGAATGTGGAATAAACCTTCTTGGGTCAGTGTATTAGTCAGCTTTCTGTTACTGTACCAAATATTTGAGATAACCAACTTATAAAGAGAAAGGTATATTTGACTCAGGTTTTAGGGATTCCAGTACATGATTAGTAGGTCCCACCGCTTTGGGCCTTTGGTAAGGCAGTACATCGCTGCGGGAGTGCATGGTGGGGGAGAACTACTCACTTATGACCAGAAAGTAAGAAGAGGAAGGGAGAGCAAACTGGGGCCCCACAGTCCCCTTTGACGGCACACCCTCTGTGACTTATGGTCTTATTACTAGGCTCTACCTCCTAAAGCTTCCACAACCTCATGATGGTACCACCCTGGGGACCAAGCCTCTATCACATAGACCTTTAGGGCACATTCAAGATCCAAACTATAGAGCCGGGATTGTGGCTTGCCTACCACCCTGGGTTTGATCCTCAGCACCTCATAAAAAATTAAATGAATAAAATAAAGTCATCTACAACTAAAAAATAGCAACAAAAAAATGATCCATACTATAGCAGAAATTTCCTAAAATGGGTTTAGTCCAAACCAGATTGTTGTAACTCATCTCTCATGAAAAGAGGTAAAAAGTACCCTTATGTTTATCAGTCACATACCATTCCTACCACCACTTCATTACAGAATTGTTTTTTCTCATTGTTTACCTTTCTGCTGATCAGGATGCTGAGTAATATTATAGAAAGTTTCTCTGTTTACCCTCTGTAAGGGTCAAATTGAGTTATTGTATGAGACATTTTGAGATGACAATTTTGTTAGCAACTCAAAATGAGCATTGTGATACTAGTAGATTATTCTTTGCTCTGTCTTAAGCAGGGTCTAATATTGTACTCACTCAATAAGTACGCATTATATATCCAGCATTGTTCTAGATGTTGTAAGTTAGCAGTGATCAGACCATTATTATTTTTTTAAATTTAAGCTTACATTCTATTTCACATATGTAGATGTCTGTATATGCACATATACACATTCCCTTGGCCCAGTGAAAATAACTACAAAGGGCAAATTTGTAACAACTTTTATTGAGATATAGTTCACGTACTACACAACTTGCCTATTTAAATGTACAATTTGATGGTTTTTAGTTTATTCACAAAGATGTACAGCACATTTCACCACAATTTTTATCACATAAAGAAACTCGTACCCATCAGCAGTCATTACCTATTGTCCCCCTGAAACTTCCTGCCCTAAGCTATAAGCAACTACTGACCTATTTTCTGTCTATAGGTTTGCCTATTCTCTATTTTTATGTAAATGGGATTATACAATATATAGATTTTTGAAACTGTCTTCCTTCATTTAGATAAATGTTTTCAATTGTCATCCATGTTATATTGTGTTTCAGTACTACATTCCATTTTATTGTTGAATATTCCATTGTATGAATATGTTTTCTTTATTTGTTTATTAGTTCCTAGACATTTGGGTTGTTTCCAAGTTCGTTTTAACAAGGAAAAGTATCAAGTTTGTTTGCACAGTTGGAATCTTAGCTTCAGCAATATTATTCAACATTTATAACTAGGCTTGTCTTGAAGAAGTGGGCAATCTTTATTATTCCTCTCTCATGTAAGAAAAGGAAATGTTATACCCATTGTAAATATTAAATATGCTTATCTTTTAATTTTTTATTCAGATTTTTTTATACTCCTTTTTCATTTGCTGTCATTTTGTCTTGAAGTTTAAAAGGTAGTGCCTTCCTTGTATTAAACCTAGGCACTTAGGCTAAAGGGAAGGGGGAGAAAAGTGAGACCTAATTAAGTACTGGTTTTGGTTTGATCCCAGAGCAGACCATGTGGCAACAGATTCAAGGTAGTTTGTCAGGGAGTTATGTGTGCAGTGGGAAGCAGCACTGGGGGCAGCAGAAAAAGTGAAAAGCTTGTGTTTAAGAGCTTCAAGTCAGGAATGACTTTGGATTCAGTCTTTTTGAAGTGTACCTCCACATATCTTTGAAAAGCATACTAAATGTATTTCACTTTGTCAGATGAGTGTGAGTTTTTTGGGGGCCGGGGCAAAATGTTATGGTTCAGATGTAGTATCTTCTAAAAGCTCATGTGCAAGAAGGTTTGGAAGAGAAATGATTGGGCCATAGCCTTACCCTAACCTGATGGGATTAACTGATGAGTGACTGGAGGCAGGGCGTGTGGCAGGAGGAAGTGGTTCACTGGGGGTGTGCCTATGGAGTCTGTATATTTTACATAAGGAGAGTGGAGTCTCTCCTCTTCCTGATCCTCATGTGAGCTGCTTCCCTCTGCCATACTCTTCCACCATGATGTTCCGCCTTACCTGGAGTACCTGGGGAATGGAGCTGGCTTTATGTTGACTAAGGAAAAAAACTCCAAAACCATGAGCCCTTCCTTAAATAAACTTTTCCTCCTCTACAGTTGTTCTGATTGGGTCTTTTAGTCACAGAAGCGAAAAAGCTCACTAAAACAAGCATATAAACATGTCTCAGGCCTATTGGGAAGATGAAATGAGATATTAGTTGTGAGTCTTTGCTGAATATGATTATTGTTATACTTTCATGAAGATGAATCAATTATATTTTCTTTAGTAATACTGGAAAATGTAGGACTTTGTGGCCAAACATTACAGAAATGTCTCCACTTTCCTCATCATGTTGATTTTCAGACATACATTTCATTTTCTGTTTTACAGAAGGACCTAGGAAAGAAAGATACAAGTACATGAAGATGTGTTACATTTTGTTAATTAGTGAGTCAGATACAAAGAGTTGCCTGTATGTTACATGTTAGACCGAGGGCAGAAGGAACAGCTAAGTCTCGTAATAGATGGAAGAAATTTCAGAGCAATAACGGTGGTCATAAGTGATTCATGTATGGCAAAGGACTATTGTTAAGATTTGAAATGTCAGTTTATTAGATACTTCTTGCTGTCTTTGAGCAGAAACTGCTTATCTTCTGGCTACATGAATCATGATTGGGGAATTATGTTCACTCTGGAAGATGTGAAATATCTTGGGAATTGCAGTGAAATATTTTTGAGAATGGTATACCTCTGGTATTTTGTGGTGCAGAGAGGATGAGTTTGTGTGTAACACCTCAGATATTGTAGATGCTGATCAAAATATGAAAGGTATGATTACAATATGAACTCTCGATCCTCCCGTTTCAGCCTCCTGAACTACTGGGATTTCAGGCATGCTCCATTATGCCCTGTTTCAATTTTTTTCTTTTTATGATAGTTTTGTTGTTTTTATAAGGAAAGCCATACATTTCCAAAAATATTTTTAATACATGTTGTTTGTGTTTATTGGGATAAACAAAAGTTTTGAATTCAAAGAAGAAGATTTCATAGTTTTATCAGACAGAAATAGCAGTGTTAAACTTCAGTAAATATATCCTTCCAAAAATAGATATGTGGGTAGATAAATAGATGAACAGTTTTTAAACATATGTCATTTTTAAATACTTTTCTTTGAAGAGACAAATCATGCCATTTTAGGTTTAATGTGAGTAGAAGTATATTGTGAGCTGTTTTTAATTCATATACACTTGCTGTCATATAGAATATAGATCTTATTCTTACATTGTTGAATAAAGAGGTCAGTTTTCTTTGTGCTAGAGCAATATTTGAACTCATAATTTGGCAGAGTCATAACTAAGAATAATCTTATTTTAAGGTTTAATTGGTATGTCCAATCCAAATTCTTAATTCTTCTGTGTTTTATTTGCCACCCTGGAAATGGAGCCTATGACCTAACTCACACCAGGCAAGCCACAGTCCAAGCCCTAACTCTTTTTATTTATTTATTTGTTTGTTTAATTTTTTTTTTGTAGTTATAGATGGACAGAATGCCTTTATTTATTTGTGTATTTTTATGTGTCTTTTGGCATTGTCTTTTGGTGCTAAGGATTGAACCCAGTGCCTCACACGTTAGGTAAGTGCTCGCCACTGAACTACAGCCCCATTCCCTCAGCCCAAACTCTTAAGTACTTCTTTTAGAATTTGAATATTAATATTACATTGATCTTTTCTCTTGTTTTTCTTCTTTTTTATCTTTTTTTTTTTCTTACACTGTTCAAGCCCATGTAACGGCTTGTCTCACAGAAAAGAGACCACCAGAATAGGTTAGACTTTCTTACTATAGCAAGCTCAAATTGTGACATTGATCTTCTCTTACACATCTTGAAAACATATGATAAAAGCTAATAAGAATTTTATATTTTTGAATAGCTTCTTGCTAGATTATTTTGGGAAGTTCAGGAGACTTATCCAAATTTCTGTAAATTATCTTATTGTTCTTATTAATCAACAAGAGTATGCTTTTGTTCACGAGGTTTTGGCATGCATTGGACACTGCATTTTTATTGAGGGCTAAATTAAAAGAGAAGATTCTGTTGATTATGGCCCTAGAAATAATGCTTTGTCTTCATGCAGGAATGAATTGTAGTCATGCTTTTTCTTGGAAGAATCATTAGGTTATTATTTTAAAAAAAATTCTGCAGTTTAGGTCTAGGCTAAAGAAATAGAAACAAACAGTGTCTTTTGGCATAGCTAGAGAAATGTGAATAGGTCTCTAGATCAGATTAAGTTTTTGTAGCAATGTTCAATTTCCTGAATTTGATAATTGTATCATTATCATATAAGTGAATAGACCTGTTCTTAAGAAATGCACAGCGATGAATTAAAGGGGAACAGTGACTACCATTTATTTGCAAGAGTTGAGGAAACAACATGTGTTATGTGTGTGTATGATTATGTGTACACAGAACAAGAGATAAATGGTAACGGTCAAAATCTGGGTGAGGGATATAAGGGTTGTTTTTTGGTAGGTATGAAATTATGCAGAGTTTAAGAATTTTGCTTGTTGAATTCTAAGAAAGAGAAATTGCTGGGTTTCTATATCTGGAATTTTTTCTGTAAGGAAATATTTCATTGACCAAAGCCAGGGGGCCTACACGGATGATGACCCACCTAACATGGATGTTTCTGCCTTGGTGTGTTAGAGAATTAATGGACAACTTCAATTGCACTATTCCTGAGAACAGCTCATTTAATCATTTTGTGACCAAATATGTAGCCCCTAACCTACCTAGGTGGGCTTTCCTGCAGATGCTAAGTGTTGATAGAAGACCCTTAGTGAAGATATAAGTGATACATTTTAATTCTTCACAGTTCTGGCAAAGGCAGTTACCTCTTCTCTGATGTTACACTAGGAGTGGGATCTTTGTGTAGGGAAGACACAGGCACAGGCACAGAATGCCAGGCACTTTGACCGAGAGGCTAATGAATTATTGGCTCTTTGCTTGCTATATTTTGCCAAAACTTTTCTCTCTTTTTACTTATTTCTGAAAGAGCTACCCAGAAACTTAAGAGCTAGAGAAAAACTGAAAACAAAAATGTTTTATTCTTTGGCCAATGTAAGAAATTAAATTCTTTCCTAAGTTCTGAGTAAATATGAAAATAATGGAGGTAATTTTAAGGGAAAAAGCTTCCATTTTGACTTTTGCCTCAGGAGTGTTGAAATGCTGACACTATCAGCCTATGGATGAGAGAAGCTGAGTATTGCTAAATGAAGGGAAGGGGAAATACCAACTCAGTTATCAGAGCACCTTCTCATAGCAGAGGAGTGCAGTTGGCTTTGAAGCTTGGTTCCAGGCAGGCCTTTCAGACAAGTCATGGTAAGGACTGGGTAAACTTTATAGTTTGAGTTTGGTAAATACAGCAAATGAGGATTTTGAGTTGGTTGGTTCAAAAAGTCTTGGATGTTGTCCTTTGATGCTTTATATTGAAAAGTTGATAGATCTTTTAGGAAGTTTCTGGATGCAACAATAAACTTAATCCATAACTTTTAGCTTCCTGGGTAAGAGTCTCCTAGAATAGTGAAGTTATATTGATGGAAACAGTGGAATGCTGAAGTCTTACTAACATAGGCAGTGAGCTGTTTGGGTTCTACAGGTACTTCTTGAGTCCTGGGAGTGTTGCATGTGCTATATTATTTAGTTCTGTAGAGATGTGGAAATGAAAGATGAAAGGAGTCAAATAACTTGTTTGAGGTTCTACAAGTCAAAAGTAGCAAGTCTACATTGTCCTCCTTTCATAATGCCACTGTGGACAAGCAACTTGGTTTTTTCAAGAGTAGAAATATCCAGTTATTGAAAAGGTTGCGTTTCCTCAGAAGCAGATGTGGAGATGAGGATTTAAGTGGATGTGGTTTATTTGGAGGGTGAAGGGGACACTGTAAGGGAGTGGGAAAGTGAGACAGGAAAGGGAAGAAGTGCTAAGTGTACCTGTTACCAAACTAGAGATCACCATTAGCAACTGAAGTCTAATCCTCATGGGGAATCTCTGAGCTGGTCTGAAATATTCCCTCAGTTATCCCACCAAAGGGCAAGGGAACTTCTGCTAGCCATTCCTTGGTGGCTATTCCCTGGTGCTCCCAGCGCCCATGCGGAACAGAGCAGGCTTGTACAATGATTAATCACCCCTGGGCAAAGACACTGATAGTCCTCAAGCCTGATACACGGGGTGGGGGGGATATAGTGCAGAGAGTTAGGCAGGCTGCCAGTGGGATCTGCCCCAGGCATTGATTCCAACAGAAGACAGGGCAGTATTTTGGATGTGTGTATTCCTTATGAATACAAACGTGGCTGTATGGGTCTTAGCCTGGGTCTCTAGCCCATGAGAATGTAGGAATATGTGTGGCTTTCCAGAGCCCGCTGTAGCTCTTGCCAAGCACACTTGCCCTTTGCTGAAAGGAAAGAAAGGGATAAAGATGTCTGGGGCTGCTGAAGATGTGATAGATAAGAAATGTCAGAGGACAAAGTGACAGGAGAACTAAAAAGCTCTGAGCCAAATGGGTCTACAGACTGAAGAGTGCATTTGTTGATGCGAAACAATTTACTTTTTTATCTTATATGATAATAAACCAAAGTACAAAATAATCCATCACCACACTGAAATTTGCCAACATACTAAATAAAAATGTCTTGGCTTTGGGTAAAAAAGTGCAAATACAGAAAGAACTAGGAGTTCTTTAATTGCCTGGAAATATTTCCTTATTATCCCGCTTTGTTTCTTGAAATGTACTTACTTATAGTGTTTGATTTTATGTGTGACCTTAAATATTTTTCTAATGTATATTTTCTGAAATTTCTTCTCAACTTGTCATTTCGGAAGTCTTTTCTCTAATTCTACACATCTTTAGTTTAGGGTATTGCTTTTCTTATTGTTATGTATTCCTGTCAGTGGATGGCACATGTTGAGAGCCAGGTTTCTCCCTGTTATCATGGGAAGTTACACATAAACCTAAAACTATCCACATGATACTAGATTTGAACTGGAGACATTAACATGAACTCAAAAATATGTTAATATAGATTGGAATGAACATATAGAAAGGTTTACAGATGTGGTTATAAACAATTTGGTTGTTTCACATCTATTTCACTGCTCTGTCAGCTCTGAGGCCCAGGAAGTAAGGATTCCACAGTGGTAATGAGCACACTTGGTGCACATATCTTGGTTTCTAATACCATTGTCCAGCAAAAGGAATAGATGTGTCTGAGAGAAAAGACTGGTCCTAGGGCTGGCACTGGCAGATGGAAAATGAGCTTGGAGCATTTTATAATGCCAGGAAGCAAGAAAGTCAAAGAAAGAAAGAAAGGGGTGGGGGAGGGAAAGATAGAGAAAAAAGGAAAGGAAAAACATAAACATGATAGTGGATGTATGACAGAAGGACACAGGAAATAACTAAAAGTTCCCAGTGGCCAAAGCTGAAACAATTTAAGCAATGACATAAATTTTATAGCATTGGATAACTCAAAGTATAAAATATTTTTTGAGTTCATTCATACTGAAAAAAATGTAATGGGGGAGGATAGACAAGGCTTGTGTGCAAAGGAATCCCAGATAATTTACATTGATGAACTCCTTTCAAGGAATGTGGGCTTTGCAGAATGATTTCCTTCCAAAGAAGGAAGTGGGTGCAGAGGGAAAGAGTAACCTCCGCAGTGGGGAATCTGACAAACTCTTCCTCAGCCATGTGAGCAAAATCAGTGTCAATTATAATGTATTGATAGTAGTTACCCTTGATGTGATGTAAGCCCACTTTATCTCTGTGATCTTTCTCCCCAAAACTCATAATCTCAGTCAAATTATGAGAAAAATATCAAACTCCAGCTGAGGGTCCCTGTATAAAATTCTTAATTAGTACTCCTTAAAACTATCAAGGCATCCAAACTAAGTTGGGTGACACTGTCATAATCTAGAGGAGGAAGGAGGAAGCATGACAACTAAATGTAATATGTCCTACAGAGGATCCTGGACCAGAAAAGGGACAGCAGGTAAAGACTAAGGAAAGGGGCTAGGGTTGTGGCTCAGTGGTAAAGTGTTAGCCTTGCACAGCCGAGACCCTGGGTTCAATCCTCAACACCACATAAAAATAAATAAATAAAATAAAGGAATTGTGTCCAACTACAACTAAAAAGTAAATATTTAAAAAAAAAAGATGAAGGAAAGATGAATGAAGTATACACTTTGGCTGCTAATCGTAATGCATAATCATTGCTTCATCCACTGTAGCTAATGCATCATACTGACATACGTAGATTGTTGACAGTAGGGGAAACTGGACGTAGGGTATATGAGATCTTTGTGTACTAACTTTGCAGCTTCTCTGTAAGTGTAAAACCATTCTTAAATAAACAGAGCATCACAGCATCAAGATGAAGAGGTATATTGGTATGAAAATATCCAAAGAATGAATTGATTGTTAGAACACTAGAGGTCATCAAAACTAAATTCTTCATTGAGAACTGGAACACTTCCTCTGGGTTGTAGTAAGTTTAATTATTGAACTATTCTTTTTTTTTTCCAGTTAATATTACATATAACACTTAAATGTATAAATTAATAAAACCGTGTTTTAACACATCATATAAAATGCATTATACTTTGTTAAAATTTAATTCATAAATGTGCATTAGAGAATTATATTCTCTCTTTTTCCCCCCAATCATCTTTGCCTTGTTTTGCTAATATTTTCACTTTTTACAGGATGGTTACCCCTTAGAGAGGAGGTGGCTCAGCCTTTACATTTCATCCTAAAAGACAACTTGCTCAATTTGCAGTCTGACTCATCCTCTTCAATTACCATGTGCTTGTTCATGAATATATA